TTATCAACCTTTAGTCAAAATATCAAATGGCCTGAACGACAACAAAAGGTAAACTTGGTACGAAAATTTTTTTTTTTTCAAGCTAACGATGAATTAGCAATTTATTATTTCTTCACGAAATCACCGGGCTAAATTTTTAAAGAAACATGGAAATAATATATTTTACTATCTGTTACGTATACCACTGCTTGATATACAAGTATGTAGTTTGTTACTCAAGATGCGAACGATAAGGGTACGTGAAAATATAATTGCGAACGATGTTGGCAAAAATCACGGAGCGCGGTCGAATCCACGAAAGTGAATGGCGAAAGTACATAAAGCATAAAACCGAGAGCGTATCCCGTTCAATGGAAATTATGCATTTATACGAAGCTGACTAGCATACACGTATGTGCATGTATAATACACGTATTAGCAATGTACATTAGCGAGCCAATATTCTGAATATTCCGAACTTTCAACTTGCGATTCTGCACACATTTCCCGGAATGTGCTGTTTGATTAATTATACCCTTCTGTTTTTTTTTTAATTAATTATACCATCATTCTTTGGAAATGAGTTTCAAAAGATCTGTAAAGTTTCTCTCAAATTTGCTAGAACGAACATTCCATTATTCTACACTTTCTAGGGTAATATTTTAGTGGATATGTTCAATCGGTGCAAGCAATTTAACATGATTCATACAGTACCGCGTTCAATTAAAATTTAATTCTATTAGACTCGTTATGCGTATTTAACACACTGCTGACCAACTATAAATATATATACACCTGTGGTGCACGTACATTGATTTACTCGATTATCAAAGCATAAAATTATGTAAGCTCTCATTATAACATTATTCATACGTTAGATTGTCTTTGTTAAATTATATACAGTTACTGAAATTTATCCAATTATTTTACTGCAGTGCTGGAGATGTATCACGCATTAACATCACATGAATTTCTATGCTTTTGTTATGATTAATGCAACTTATTGGAGTTAATTAACGATATAGGGAAATGTATTTGTAGCTTTTAGTCCATTCTTTTGCTATCAATGTCTCCGTTCAGTTTTGCATGAGACAACCAGTCAGAAATTATTTCTAAAATTATTACAACAACATTAGAACAATCGAGTATTGCTAAAGTGTTATTACAAATTTCAAGTTCCTCCTATTTTGGACAATCCAACAAATGGCCAACAATACTGGTCACCGAGTATTTGCGTTCGCTGGTCGCAGTCGTAAATAAGCATCCAAGAGATAAGGGTTGAATATTTCAATGTTAGGGCTCTTCACTATTTCACTTCGTAAGTCCTGGCCGTGTGTAGTCGATGATTGGTCGTGGCTATGATTATCGTGGCGTGAAAAGCACGTTTGCCTCGTGATCAGCAGTCGGGACGTAATGGTAGAATAGTTACCTCGTAATCGACGGTCGGGCTGTAATAGGGCGGCGTGGTTGTTCTCGGCGTGCTGATCGGAGTAGACGGGGTCAATACGTCGATGGATCGCTTGCGAACGTTAACTTGCGGCGATTCCACGCCGACCCAGTACGTACTGTAATCCTGCGCGATCGTGGATCTGCAACGTGGAACAGAGAGGTGAAAAAAAAAGAAAGAAAGAAAAAGAAAAAAAAGAAAAAACATGAGGAACGATTCATTCACGGGCGAGAAGCACGGATCGATCGATGGTCGGTGAAAGGGAAATGGGAGCGTTTCAGCTAGATACAAATGACTGATAGGGAAACGACGATACCGTAGCTAGTATTGATTGCGATATGGTTGGTTCTTTGAGGCACTCGACTGAATAGCAAGGCTCGAAAGATTATCGTGTGTTTCGTTCGAACCTGCACCACCAAATGTGGACACTTTGATCAATTTCGAGCGAATGCACGTATGTAAATTACAGTGGGCATGTGCTTGGTCATCGGATTAAGAGTGTTCGCAGCTTTCATCTCTTTGATAGAAATGGTAAATTTTATTAATCACTAGCATCTTCTTATTATTTTAATAAATATTCTGAACTTTTATCTTCGTAATTTAGCGTAATTTAGTGAATAATGGAGATATTCTTCCATGTGATGTAATTAAATAAATGATCCTAATTCGGTGATCAGGGTATGTATACGTGAATTATAGTAGAATGCACTAGGCCAGCCAGGTAATATGTTCCATCAACAGTTTTTATCAGCATGTTAGATGCTGCAAGTCATTGCAATTCATCATTTTCATTTCCGTTAGGTTGTTTATGCTTGTTTGTGTAAAACCGAGGAAAGTTTGTACCTGATTTAACATGCACGAAGTTGCAGTGAATACACAAATTATTTGTACACTACCGAATTCATTATAGCACTTGCTGATTAATTATCCAGGTTCAAGTACAATTAAACTTCACATTATTTAGCAATATTTTAATACGACTATGTGAAGATCATACTAGAAACCGCTTCAAAAATAAAGACTGTAGCTGTATCTATGATTGTGGTTCTCATTTTTTCGACACGACTAACCAGCATTCTTAATGTCAACTATTTACGCTCGAAAGTAGGTAACTACTCAACAAATTACCATGCATACCAACGTCTAGAAATCTCAGCATTAACAATCACCTTCGTTTTAAAAGTTTAAACAGACGCCAGTGAACATACAAGTACAAACATTTGAATACCAATGGAACGCCGAAGCGAAATTGGAAAGTTTTTCATAATCGCGTGCGCGTGCAAACGATATCCTTTCGTATCGAAGAAGCAGATTATTAGCTGGAAACTCGAGCTATCTCGCAATCGCTTCCCTTAACGATCCTGCAATTACTCTAAACCGGCGCATCATAATCGGTCACGAAACGCAGCCAACGTTTTCTTTACGTTTCCGCGAAGGAGCAAGGAAAAACGGCGTCGATTCGTATTCCATCTCGGCAGATAAGCGTATAAATTACGGTCTTCCGGGTCGACGTGATGCAACGCATTGCCAGCGCAGGCGTGGGAATAAAAGATAACAATGTTGAGAACGAATAACGACCCCAAGTCGCTTATGTTGAAGAATCGAATTCTCGATAGTGGAAACAAAGGCGTCCGATCGAACGAATGAACCAAGGTAGACAAAAGTGGACTGGCATATCACTGCAGAATTTTGTTCAAAGCAGAAATTTCAAACGATTTCGCCACATTGATAGAAGTGATCTCTCTTTCTAATTAAGGCTCACTTTCCATGTTTCACACAGGCCGAAAATATGATCTCCATTCCACCTTCAGCTATATTGTAGAAAGTACTTTCTTTTATTGATATTGAATATCCCGACCTATTCGATTACTCTATTTGTATTTATTTCGTAGTGATACAAATCTACACTCGATCGTGCAAAAGTTAGGAACATTTTCTTTTCAATCACAACGTGTGAATTACGAGAAGCAGAGAGCCAGCAAAAGTACATTTACGTTACAGTTTCTCTCTGCGTGACGCTCGAATTAAAATACAAAGAAAGGAACCGTGAAAAGTGAATGAAGGAACGAACAACTTGGATTGGAGAGTGGGCTGGTAAAGCGGAATTCGAACGAATCGAACGAATAGCTTTATTTATGGCTATCGGCATAAATTTCTGCAGAAGTTTTAATGGAGCTTGGCCAGTGCATTCTCTCTCTCTCTCTCTCTCTCTCTCTCT